CTCCTACCTACTAACCTCATCCCGCCCCCTTGACCTGTCCATCCTCCCTGGACTGACCTATCCCCTCCCTAACTCCCCACCTACACTCACCTTTACTGGCTCCATCCCCACCTCTTCGACCTGTCTGTTTCCTCTCCACCTATCTTCTCCTCTATCCATCTTCTATCCGCCTCCCCCTCTCTCCCTATTTATTTCAGAACCCCCTTCCCCTCCCTCATTTCTGAAGAAGGCTCTAGGCCCGAAACGTCAGCCTTCCTGCTCTTATGATGCTGCTTGGCCTGCTGTGTTCATCCAGCTCTGCACTTTGTTGTCTCGGATTCTCCAGCATCTGCAGTTCCTACTATCTCTGAATGAAAGAAGGAGTGTGGTTGCGAGTGTTAAAGTTCAATAAGACTGTGAGAGAGAGAGCTTGAGACTGTGAGGCCAAGTGTGGGGTGAGTGTGATTAAGAGTGTGTAAGGGTGTCAATGTGAATATGTAGGCCTTTAATAGTGTGACAGTGATTGATGGAGACCAAGTCAGAGTGTAGGTAAGAGTGAGAGAGAGTGTGAGCAACACAGACTGAGTGGATTTGAGAGTGAGTGTGATAATGAATGAGAGACTGAGAGAGAAATGGAGATTGAGTGTTAGAGTGTGAGTATTAGAATGAGTGTGATGTATAGCTTTGAAAAAGTGAGAATGCGTGACTGAGCAAGATGAGAAAGTGAGTGAATGTAAGAGTGAGTGTAAGGATGAGAGATGGAATGTTAAGTATGACCATGAGAGATGAAGGTGAGAAAAAGAGTGGGTCTGTAAGAAAGTATGAGTGAATGAGTTGCAAAGTGTGAGTGTGACTATGAATGTGAGGATATGAGTCTGTGCATACGTGCAAGTGAGAGTTGGAGAGTGAGTGTGTATGAAATTGTGAGACACTGTGTCAGAGTGAGACTGATTGAGAGTGAGTGTGAGATACGGCAGCATGGTGGCTCAGTGGTTAGCACTGCCGCTTCACAGCACCATGGACCCGGGTTTGATTCCAGCCTTATGTGACTGTGTGGAGTTTGCACATTCTCGCCAAGTCTGCATGGGGTTCCTCCAGGTGCTCTGGTTCCCTCCCACAGTTCAAAGATATGCAGGTTAGGTGGATTAACTATGCTAAATTTCCCATGGTGTTCAGGGATGTGTAGGTTAGGCAGATTAGCCATGGGAAATGTAGGGTTACAGAGAGAAGGTAGGGTATGACGCTCCTTGCACAGTCAGTATAAACTTGTTGGGCTGAATGGTCTGTTTCCACACTGTAGGAATTCAATGATATATGTGAGTGTGATGTGTGTCTGAGGGACGGTGTTTGTATATGTGTGCATGGGAAATGTGAGGGTGCGAGTAGTTTTGATGGTGTGAAACAGTGTGACTGCTGAGAGAATACAAGCAGAAGGAATTACTTTTTAAAGAAATGTAACAGCCTGATGAGAGCAAATGTCCAGATAGCACGTTCATGAACAACCTCATTCCATTGAGATTGACCACTAGGTGTGTCTGCCTGTCTCCTCTCCCTTCTCCTTTTCTGCTCCCGTGGAAACTTTTGTGTCAGAGTTTGTGTAACCTGAAGAGTGAAATTCTGCACTGTAATACCTGTAAGCACCTGTGTATGTTTAAACAGAGAAATTAACTAGTTTCAACGTCCTTTTATGGTGCAGTAGTAGTGTCCCTACCCCTAGACCAAGAGGCCCATGTTTAAGTCCCACCTGCTCCAGAGGTGTGTAATAATATCTCTGAACAGGTTGTTTAGAAAAATAGGTCAAATAAAAAACAAGTTTCAATGTTAACTTTTCATCAGAACTCCTTTAATGCTGTAATAGTAAATTTCTGTTCCCCTTAAAGATACTGATGGACCTCTAACCTTTTGTTTCCTGTGTTATGATAAAAGCAACTCTTGTGTAACAGTACACTGAAGCTTTCCCTGTATTTCCTGAGGTTAATTGGCTTCTCTTTGAGGAAATACTGGAATCTATGTGACAAAACTTCACAGCAAGGCATTTTTTTTCGTTCTTTGAGGGGATGTGGGCATCGCTGAAAACACCTAATTGCCCTTTAATGGAATGGCTTGCTGAGCTATTTAACAGTCATTCTCATTGCTGGCTTCTGTGATGTGTTTCTGTATTATGTTAGTTTTCTTAACATGAACACTGAGGCAGACTTCTTACTGAAAACAAATACTAGAAGATTTGTTTACTAAATATTCCACTTCTTACTAAAGCAACTAAATACATTACAATTTTAATGCAGACACCTATGGAACTTGGGCTGTATTGTTTAACAGAGTGATAGAGTGACTTTATTAATCCATTCCAAAGTAATCCATTCCAAAGGTGGCATGGTGGCTCAGTGGTTAGCAATGCTGCCTCACAGTGCCAGGGACCTGTGTTTGATTCCACCCTCGGGCGACTGTCTGTGTGGAGTTTGCACATTCTCCCTGTGTCTGCGTGAGTTTGCTCTGGTTTCCTCCCACAGTCCAAAGATGCGCAAGCTAAGTGGATTGGCTGTGCTAAATTGCCCATAGTGTTCAGGAATGTGTAGATTTGGGGGATGGGTCTGGGTGGGATGCTCTGAGTGTCGGTGTAGACTTGTTGGGCCGAAGACCTGTTTCCACACTGTACTGATTCTATTTGAGTTATTCAAGGTAAGGCTTTATTTTTTATCCAAAAATATCACATGGCATGATATCACATGGATGCCTTCATTGAAAAGTACATGCTTGCCTGATCATTCATGCAACAGCTTGGACTCACAAGCAGAATGTATAAAATAAAGCAAATGTATCTTTATAAGATTCAGATTGTTCTGAAGGGATTAATGTTCATGTTGCATTTTTAAAAATTCTTTCATGGGATGTGGACAATGCTGTAGGGGCTAGCATTTGTTACCCATCTCTAACTGCCTTTGAACTGAGAAACTCACTCGGCCATTCCAGAAGGCAGTTAAGAGTCAACCATTTTGCTATAGATCTGGAGTCACATTTAGGCCAGACCAGATAAGATTTCCTTCCCTAAAGGACATTAGTGACATTTGATGGGTTTTTACAACAATCAACAGTGGTCACCATTAGGCTAGTTTTTAATCTCAAATTTTAATTTAATTCAAATGGCACCATCAGCCATGGTGGGATTCAAATGCAAATTCCAAGAATATTAGTCTGGGATTCTGGATTACTAATCCATTACCACTAGGCTATGATCTCTCCCCACCCCACCCCCTAATTTGAAAGGAGTGTATCTTCTATCACTGATCACTAGATAGGTCCAAGCAAAAAAACAAAATCAACAAAGCAAAATACCTCAAACAAACCTTTTCCAGTACCACAACATTGTAGAGATGACACATACCACAAGGTACCAAGAGTGGTCATCTAGAAAAGGATCATATACATCAGACCAGATAACAATGGCAGATATGTTTTTACTATAACCAATGATCATTTCATAGCCATTGTTACCGAGACTGGGTTTCAATTCCAGATTAATTAACTGAATTTTAATTCTACTAGCTTTTACAGTGGGATTTGAACATATTCCCAAAGCTTTAGCTCAGGCCTCTGAATTACACAT